TGGAAGAAGATGAGAGCAAATGGAGTATTAGTAGTAGGGCAGCAGTTACATGGCTTCATCGGTTGGGCTATGATTACAAGCAGGTGCGAAAGGGACTCTACAAGGATGGCCACGAGAGGGAAGATGTTTTGTCGTATAGGATGAACCAGTTCCTACCTGCTTTGAAGGCTTTGGAACATCGATTTGTTCTCTGGAATGAATGTGGTGAGATGGTACGAGATGCTGCACAGATCTGGGCCGATACAGGAGAACAACCAATTGTTCTGGTAACTCATGATGAGTGTACATTTCACTCCAATGAGGGTCCAACAAGACAGTGGACAAAGGAAGGAAGCCAGCCTCTTTGAAAAAAAAGTTTAGGCAAAGGAATCATGCTTTCAGGATTCTTGACACCTACTGCACCTCTTTGGGTACCAGACTATATTAGTAACTACCAGTTACTGAATTTAGGCCTTCGACGGGAAGCACTTGAAGCTATAGAAGCTGGAGGTGACTGCTGGTGGAATAGCGATAAGCTGGTTAGCCAAATTTTGAATTACACTATACCAATTTTTGAACTCCAGTACCCTGGCTGTCAGGCACTTTTCCTTTTTGATAATGCACCCTCACATGCTGCCTGGCCTCAAGATGCATTACGGGCACACTCGATGAACTTGGGTCCTGGAGGAGAGGCTCCAATCATGCGTGATGGTTGGTATATTGATTCCGGTGGTACTTGTGTTATCCAGCCAACCAACTTCGCTATTGATGATCTTACGGTAGAGTCAAACCTACAAGGAAAGCCTCGTGGCTTAAAGATTTTACTGCAGGAGAGAGGACTATGGCATAATAACTTAAGACTGAAATGCCAAAACCGCAATTCCTGCAACCCGGGATTAGTTGGTGGCTGTTGTGCTCGAACACTGCTTTCCCTTCAGCCTGATTTTCAAAATCAGAAGAGTAAAATTGAGGAAGCAGTATATAGCCGTGGCCATCTTGCTTTACTCTATCCTAAATTTCACTGTGAATTGAATTGGATTGAACACTACTGGTGTGCAGCCAAATGGTTCACTAGGAAGAATTGTGACTATTCACTTCCCGCATTACGATCCCTGATTCCGCAGGCCTTAGCCTACTCGAATCAATTCATTTGGCGATTTTGGCGGCGTGTCTCAGATATTGCTCAAGTCTATCGTGAAGGCGGAGGTTGGGGAACAGAAAAAACTTATAAGAGTCACCGGAGACTCTATTTACATGCAGAGGATAGATTGGAATCACTGGCTGGAAGTGACATGTAATGCTTGATAGGAGAGGGCAAGTGTGATATTTTAAATAAGTTAGTTTCTGTGTGTATTCACGAACATCTCACTCTTTTCGATACTGTCGCTGGTAGTGACTTGATCCTCTTTTGGCTAAACACTGGGTGGCAACCTATCACTTATTGGGAAAGGAACGGCAATTCTCTATTTTTTCTGGAAGGGGGGCCGGAGGTTGACACACTCACCCTCTGAGGCTTCGGGCGCCATAGCTCTAAACTTCCCTACATCGCGCTGAGATCTGAACTGACGTGATTAGTTCCGGACCACCCTGGATAAGGGTAGTCGAGTGATATCGAACGCGTTCGGGTTACGTTATCATACGGTACGAACCGTTAACGCAAGCAGCGAACGTATCATGGAAACTTCTTCACCTTCCTCCACGGGTTGGAATAGTTCGCCGCGTTTTGGAACAGGCTCATTACTTGCCATGAACTGTGCCGATGTATATCCCATTACACTTTTTCGCGATTTTCCTATGCGAAGATGACGCTGGGAGTCAGTCATATGCTGGTTTAGGGTAGTCTCCTCATCTACAATATTGATTCTACTAACGCAAAAATAATAATAATAAAAAGTAATGCACCCACCTGACTAGCCTAACTTCGGCTCCATGAAGGGAAGTTCGGTCTATCAACCAATACTGCGGGAGATAAGTACTGCGAGTTCTTGTATGCGATATAGGGCCATAGGTGTATGGTATCGGCTGAGGTCTCGGATATGAACCTGTACAGTACAGTACAGTGCAGTACCAGTTAAAACCCAACTTTCGGGAGTCCACCGCGGGTAATTTACTTCTGATTAGACATCTTCCTAGTCATATATAGTGCATATATAGCAGCTTGGAAAAAGCTTTTTCAAGCTTGTGTGTGATCTATAGC